GGGGAGAATCATCTCCCTCAGCCTTCTGGTCACGTTTCTTTTGATGCTGCCCAGGTTATGGTCGGCTTTCTGGGCTGCCAGTGCTCATTGCCAGGTCATGTTGAGCTTAATATGCTTTTGAAGATCAGTCTTCTGACAGATTTTTTTTACAATCACCTTTTACAGATAGTCAAGCAGATGGTGCCAAGAAGATGTTTTATCTCTATAAAATATGTGCCCGAAATCTTCACATCCAAATAAGTAGGGACAAAATTTCCTTTAAACAAACCTTATTGGCGTAATTGACTTGAGACGTGTGACTAGTGTTGATGCTGTCACTTGTGTATGTAGGCTGTGATGTTGTATTGAAGAAGCAGAAGGAGAAGATAGATGATGTCCTGTGTGAAAACATTATTACCACCTAATACTTACTATGCTCTGAAGAGACAAATTAGTGGTATCAGTAAAAAGCTGGATAAAGCATTCAGGGGTCAAACAAAGCAGAGAGGCTTATAGGGTAGTGAAAATAAATTACTCTTTCCTAATAATTTTGTAGCCCTGCTTTGCAACACTGGAAGTGCCCTCCTCTCTTTGGCTACAGTGAAATGGGATGTCAGCACAGTTGGAGGTAAAATTTATTTTAAATTGGGGGGGCAGCCTAGGGCAGGGGTGCTTCACTGGACAGAGTAATAGATTTTCTATGAGAAGAGTGGCCTTGCCTTAAAATGCTTCTACTCTAGCTCATATGTCTACCAAACTGTTGAGAGCTGAAGAATTTTAATTGATTTAATAGAGGTGTCCACATTTGTAGATTAATCTGTGGTCCTATTCCATGCATTGGTCTTGAGCTTTCAGAAATAGGAGTACACTTAGGAAAGGACAGAAGCTTTAGCAGAAAATCCAGGGGTAGCTGAAGTCTCACTGAAATGCATTTTTTAACTTTGTATGCTCATGGATGTGAAGTTAACTCTGCAGCATGAGGGGACACTTCAGTAGCATATCGTCATCAACGTGACAGAACAAAACTAAAAGAAATCCTCTCCAGCACTAGTTTAGCAGAGGAGGACTAAACTCAGTGAGATTGAACAGCAGTGGTGATTACGAAGGAGTGGCCTTAGGTGCTCTGGTATGGTATCTGGAAAAGTCTTTCAGAGGCTTTTGGAGCCATGTAGGAGGCATAGGAAGATTCACCTTGGGGATTTTTGCAGCCCATCTCCCTGTTTTGGGGAATGGTTCCTTTCTGAATTAATACCACTGCCTTCTGTAAGTGTGACAATAGTGAAAATAAAACTTGAATAATTCTCCATCTGCCATCAGCAGTACTTTTCTAATTAATAGATTGAATCATTAATGTTCTAAGGACTATAGTATAATATTAGCTGTTTAAATATTATTCCAAACTCTGCTTTACAAAAAACAAGTTTAGAGCAATTTAGTAAGATAGCTGTGATGAGGAAATAAATTTATTTTGTCCTGTCCTGATGTTGTTCCAGGCAAGGCAGCTTGTACTTCAGAAATAGAAAACAAAATTTGGCATCATAAATAGATTAATTAATGTTAATTTAATGATACAGACAAGTTATAATTATGATAATTTTGTTAAAAGATGGTTTGTAGAAAGTGATCAAAGTTTTCTTGAGTTTTGTGGCAAAGCAGTTAATTGATGCCATGGTGCTTTATTGTTCTCATACTCTCTCACAAAGTAATACTATGCTTTTGAAATCAAACTCGTTATAGGTTATAAACACTTAATAGAAATGAGTTTAAGTGCTACTAATACTATTGTTACACTGCAGTCTGAAGTTTTTACACAGGCAAAATTTCATGTGCTAGTAAGGACTAGGGGCCACCTCAGCTTGGGACACTTACTGTTAAAATCTGTACTGCTAAACATTGAGGACATTTCCCAGGAGCTCTAAAAAAAAAATCCAAAGGCATTTTTTTGCCAGACGTTTTCATTTTTATGAATAAGAACTCATGATCTTAACCAAACAGCTAAATCTTAAATTAGGTGTTTGTCTGTGTGTCTCATTTGAGAGACATGAATAAGTTGTTATTCTGGGGTACCATTAATATTTCTTAACCAGCCTATTTCCTTGCTGGTTGCTGGTTTTGCTGTTTTGGTTTTGTTGTTGTTTTTCGTGGTTTTTTTTGTGAGTTTTTGTTGTTATTTTTGTTTGGTTGGTTGGTTTTGTTGTGGTTTTTTTGGGATGTGTTTTTGTGTGTGTGTAGGGGGGGTGTTTTTGTAAAACACAGCTAGAGGACAATGTACCTTTTCTAAGATAGATTAATGGTTAAATCATTGACTGAAAGCCTGTCCCAAATTCTAGCTTTGGTACTAAATGTGCTGGATTAAAATATATGCCCTCCCAGTAAAAATATTTGTGGAAATATATTTTCACACAGTGATATTAAACCCAGTATGTTTTGAAGAAAGGCTGTTGGAACAAATGCCTTGCTTAGTAGTAATGAACTACTAAGAAGCATTGTAAGGAATATAACAATTTTGGGATTATTACTAAGCGTATTTCTTAATAGTTTGTGTTCCTTTTTTTGTTTAGAGCATGTCTGTGTGCCCCTCTTCAAATGCCCACTTCACATCCTCCAAGTGGAAGTAACTGCTGCTAACATGAAGGGCTGTAACTCAGTTGCCTGCTGAAGTAAACCATTAGGAACACTGAACTTCAGTTTGTCTTTCCAAATAAATATGGAGTTTGGTTTCCCACTCCTGTGCTGATGTTTAAAACTAAAAAACATGGCTCAGCTACCTATGAGAAGGCTTGTCCTTCCATAATAACTCACTTTACTGGGATCATAAGGCAGTTCCATCAGAAGAAAGAGGTTTTCCTGCAGTCATCTGCCTGGCATAAGACACTTCTTGCCACATCAGTGGAAGTGAGCCCTGCTCTCACCTTCTTCTGAACTAAATGGAAACCGTGTCCCTGGAGCAACTCAGGAAAAAATGCTACACAGCCTATGAATTAAATCCCCCCATTCTTGTCCTTTTGATAGAGTCAAAAGTGGAAGAGGTTTCTGCACTCATATTTCAGAAAGAGCACTGAGACAACAGTGCTGATTAACCTGATGCATGGTGTTTGCTAACCCTGCTTCCTTTTCCCCCGTCTCACTGCATCAAACTATTAAAACCACTAAACAATTGAGATCCTACAGTCAATTCTATGCAGATGAACTGACTGACTTGAATGGAGTCAGCTGAGAGCAGTTGTAGGAATGAAACAGTCTCAGACACAATTTTTGTAGGAAAAGGGGATATTCTGTGAATAATCTCTTCTTTTTTTCCCTTGTTGAGTCTTGCTGTTATTTTTGAGAGTCCATAAATTAAGGGAGTTAGTGATTCAAGTGCTAGTGTAGTTTGGGTAGGGATCTTGTATAAGTGGATTTTAAATCTGTTAGCAAGCTGCACCTCCTAATCTTCTTAAAAGGATTTTGACAAGAGAGTTAATGCTTATTAGTACTTGTCAGCTAGTGCACAGTCAAAAAGAAGGAATGGGTGAAAATCTTACTTGAAATATTTCAAAAGAGAGCCGTTGTAGTTGATTGTGATTTGAAGTGGTAAGAGGATGTCACTGTGATGTAGAAGCAACTGCACACACCAGAGAATTATTATTCTCATCTGTAGTTAATAAGGGTAAATTGGAGTATAAATGAGGATAGAGATTTAATCCCTTCTAGACGTAATTTAATAAGAAAGATGAGAGACAGAGATTCAATGTGAGTAGGATCTGAGTTTCTTCCCTGAGACAAAGCTTGGGATTCCTTAAGTCTTTGATTTCAAAGAGGAATCTTAAAAAAAAATCTTATTAAAAGGAGTGCTTACACTTTGGGTGTAGCAATAAGGTGATAAAGATGTATTTGTGAACTTAGTCTCTGTTCATTGTAGCTCCCTGACTTCTGTTCATTATAGGCTCATCCACTGGCTAAAAGGACATTTTTGTCAGTAAAATTAACTAGCAGCGTTTGAGTGAGTGATAGGTCTAATGATCACTGACAGTTGTCTGTCTTTGTGGTACAGCTTTATACATAACTGATTTGTGCATCTGATCCAGCATGTTCTCCTAGGAAAGTGCTATGTTTCTTTCTGTGTGTGGTGGTAGGCATTTAGTCTATTATAAACAATTCTTTCTAATGCTAGCGGTTGGCTTCTTTCTGCTAGTGATTGGCTTACCTGCTGATTCATAACATTTGATAATCACATTTAGAATGTATGTTATAGAGCTAATTCACTTTAGTTTCATAAATATGTAGTAATTTTCTGAACCTGCTGAACTGCTGGTCCACATGCTTCTGTGTTGGAGGGAGTTCTACAATTTTTCTTGAAATCTTGTTTTTTTGCAGGTGTTGCTGTAATAGGTTTTAAATATTTTAAACATTTGAATTAAGATGTTTTACTGTTACCAAGGAAGAGTTAAGATTCTTGCTTGCATATTTAATTTGTCCAACACTAAGAGGCAGAAACTTTGTGGAAGTTGTCTTTCTTGCTTTCAAGTGCGAAGAGAAAACAGAACAATCAAGTCAGTTTATACTCAGTCAAATGCAGAAGAGAAGCTTGAATATAGGAGTTACTGTTTTTATCTAAAGCTTTTCATTAGCCAGATAGAAAACTTTTGTTTTGGGCACTGATTCCACAGACCTCTTGTATGTTTGAACATCTGTTTGTTCATGTTCCCTTACAAACCTAAAACTATATATCATTGTAAGATCTTTAGGATAAGGACTGTATCATTATATATACTTTTACAGTAACTGTTACATCAGAACTTTGGTGCTAAATGGGCTTCTGGACATTTACTGTGTTTAAATGATAAGAATCATGCTCAAGTTGATAAAGGTCAGTTGTTAGGATGTGTCGAAAGGGTTTCATTATATATCTGTGAAATGCATTTTAGTTGGTTTATATTGTAGTGTGACATTTAATGCAAACATTTGTAAGTTCAGTGCATGCAGGTGGGGATGCTTCTCTGATAAATTGCTTGAGAATTTTGTCCTTTGTTTTTTTGCAGACCTTTGGAACGTTCTAGTGAAGATGTAGATATAATATTCACACGACTGAAAGAAGTGAAAGCTTTTGAGAAATTTCATCCAAACCTTCTCCAGCAGATATGTCTTTGTGGATATTATGAAAATCTGGAAAAAGGAATCACATGTAAGGGAGCTTCATATATTTATTTATTTTATGTAGATAAAATTGAGGTTAGGCTGTGATTGTCTTTATGAGATTGATGAGAAACGGCCATGAAATGTTTACAGTCGTAGTCATGGGGCAAGGCAGGGCTAAAGTGCTGCTTGCTCTACAAATGCAGTGTGTATTGAATCTATGGTAACAAGGCACACAGTTGGACGTAGGACTCTACCACTGTTTTGTTGAAAGATTACAAACAAGTCATTGGACTTAAGCCTCATTCTTCCCCTGTAAATGTATTATTGATTGCTTTTGTAGGTGCTTTGTGCTGTCAGGGGCAAAGGTGTATCACCTAGGCATATCACTAACAGTGTGTGCTTTCCAGTCACTCTGGATAGCACAAGCCAGACTTGCAGAGCTGCATATTGCTGCAGGGTGCTCTGTGCCTGCCCTGGCAGCACATGTGCCAGGTGCATGTGGACAGCTGTGCTTGGGTCTGTGAAGCTGAGATGGAAATAAGTGGTGGTCCTGTGGTGGGAATCTACCAGGGAAATAGCTGATGACAATCTGTGGTATTAGTAGAGTCTCAGATACACCTCAGGTAAATCTGGCATACAGCACTGGGGTTTGGTTAGAGTAATAGGAATTTCAATGGTCTGTATTCACACAGTTGGAATGCCTGGACATCAAAGTCCTGCAGTTACTGTTTTGCCAGAACTCTTACTGAAGTCAGCGGTAGCTGTGTCTGCACTGGAAGATTATGAATTTCAAAGGGACATTGATCAGAAAACCTTTTTGTTTTGTTTTGTTTGTTCTGTTGGTTTATTAACTAAGAGAACATTAAAAAAGAAGCAAACTGGGGAGAAGTGTGAAGCAGTTCTACAAGCTTTCATTGTTTCCACAGTGTATTGACCAGTTTACTAAATATGTGCTTCCTAGTGTCATTGGAAATATTGTTCTAATAGTAAATAAATAGTCTGATATGGTAAACTATATAGTGCCAGCAGTGACTGCAGAATTGGAGTAATATGTGGGAAAAATATTTGTTAATGTTGCTAAACTAAAAGAGGTAGCTCTTATTTACAAAATTTCATCTTTCCAGTATTCCGTCAGGGTGATATTGGGACGAATTGGTATGCCGTTCTGACAGGATCACTGGATGTGAAGGTTTCTGATACAAGCAACCACCAGGTAAAATAGATTTTTCATTGAAACCATCCAGTCAGTAGTACAAAGAAAGAATATGACTTACAGTGAGGTCGATAACAACATACATTGTACAGATATTTTGTCATATCAAAAGCATGTTTCTCTGAGTGTCTTTTAGTCTCATTTGTCTTTGTTTATGGAGGCAAATCATGCCATTGATTTCAAGAAAACTGAAATGTATGAAACCTCCGGAAAGAGGTCATATTAAATTAGCTAAAGATCTAAGAGTTGTTAATTCATTCCCTAGAAATATTTGAATTCAGTTCTTGTTCAGAAAGTTCAAACCGAACCCACTAACAGTGCAGTCTGATAACAGCGCAATGCAGTCTCCACTGCAAGAATGGGGAGGTTTCTAATATCAGAGTATTGGAACTGCTGCCATGTTAGACCAGAAGCCTGGAGGTAATACTTATTCAGTGTTAAGAAATAGAAAAACAAGTAGAATTCTCCCCTAATTCCAAATGGTTTCTCAGTACCTTGGTGCTCCTAGATTTACAAAATTTAGAACGAATAAAAATCCAAAAGGATGAGCTACTTCACTGACAGAGGGTCTGCCACCCATGTTGTCAAATGTCATGCTGACAAGTCAAGCACTTCTTGCTGTGAGCTTAGTCTTCTGGGAAGGCATCATGTCCCATTCCCTGCTCCTGTGTTTGAGATCTGTGATTGTCCCATCATGTGGCTCAGCATGGAGTTATACCTCTGACATGGGATTTACTGTGCCTTCACAGGAGTGGTATAGGTACCCAGGACCTGATGTATAACACCACCCATTTTTCCCACCTTGACTGAATACAGCATGTGTAGCAGGTGTATTCTTTGTGCAAAGTTTGGCTGAGTGAGGAAGGTTTTTTGCTCATAGCAGGAATTGGATTTTTTCACTTTGTTGAGCATCACATCACCAGGGAGATTGGGTCGGAATGCAAGTCAAGGCAGTGTGTGAGTACTGGGTCTTTCTACTTCTTGCAGTATGACAATAGATAAAAGAGGAACTTCCTTCATATAATTATTTTTAGCAATCTCTTCACTGTTCTAAGTAGAAATTGACTGTGAGTATAATTAGCCTAATTTGAGCAATTCTTGGCATGGCCTGGCTGTCATTGATGTAGTCACAATTTGGAACACTACTGGGCTCTTATGAGACCCTTTTCTGTGCAGGTCTGAAGCAATTAGGAATATTTCTGGTGTTTGCCAAAAGATGGCACTGCGCTATTGTTAAGGATCAATGCTCTTTACTGAATCAGAAAGGAATAGATCTGCACAATCTGGATCTGGGAGTTAAATTAAGAGTCTGTTTGGAGTATTGATTTGTTCTATTAGATGGAGTATGGAACACTTCAGTTTTTAAATGAATAAAATGTAAATATTTTTTCTGTTTGTTCAGGTTCAAATCTTTTTCCTGCCAATATGAAACTACAGAACTACAGTTCATGTAGTTCTAGTTCTAGGAATTACACTCTGCAATAATTTCTTAACCTCACATTTCCTTCTCACTGAAGCAATGAACTGAATTCTTATCACTGCCTAGTTGCCATAGGACACAGCCTCACTGCCAAAAGGACACCAGCTCATGCATTTACCATTCCTGTCTGGATAAGTTTGATGTTTGGGGACTCCTAAATACTATTTATGTCCAGTATTTTCTCTGCTTTTGCTCCAGCTTGGTGATTATACCATGTCCCTCCATTCTTGGTCTCCTGCTCCTTCTCTTGCCTGTAGCTCCTGGATGCCCATTCCAGTCTCATCTGTACTTCGTTGTTGGCATGGTGCTGGTCATTCTTTATCTTGATGTACTTGCTAGCACTACCTGCCTGCTGTGCTCACTACAAACCCAGATGGTGGAGGAAATACAGTGTTGTATTGCTGTCAGGGCAGCCCTGACAGACTTGGTTGCCAGGAATGTGCTCCCAACTGGGAATGGATCACCAGTGCTTAAGATACAGGGGTGCTTGTAACCTTCCCTGGAGCACATTTTCCAATAACATCACCCAGGAGCCAAAGCTTCCTTTGTAAAGTCAGGGCAACAACTAATTGCTCTGCTGTTACTATAATATAAATGGCACTCGCTACTGAGGAATTTCCAGCAGAGCAGAAGAGATACAGAAGTTTACCTGAGTTTAGAAGTTTGTAGTCTCATGTGAAAGTACCATCTTTTCAGGAGAGAACCTAACTTTTAAATACAAAGTGTGATATGGTTGAAATGTCTTTAGACATCATGACATCTTTTAATACTTAAGATGAACAGGAGGTTGTATTAGATGACTTCCTGAGTTTTCTTGCAGCTTGAATTATCCTATGATTATATGATGATGCCTACAGTGTTAATGTAAATAGGGAAAATCAGGTCTCTTGATTTAAAATATGAGTCCCAGTTTACTGGGTGTTTATCTGTCTACCTGGGGAACTTAAGTGTCATCAAGGCTGGGAATTAATGCATTGTGTAACAGCTACCATGTGCTAGCTCATTATGCAGTCACCTTTGGTGTTTGGAAGCTTTCTCCCATAAGAAGTGCAGTTTATTTAGTGCCTACGAAGAATGTCTTAATGGCCTTTGTTCCTCCAGAATCATGTAGTTACATGTCTTGCACTAGAAATGATATCCTAATGCACTAATGGATCAGGACTTCAGTGTAGCTAGTGAGGTATTAATTCCCACACGTTTTGCTGCACATTTTATCTTACT